CTAAGTACAACTGAAAACCTTGGACATTATATATAAAAGAAATGTAAGATTTTGATACTTGGGGAGAAGAAGGAAGACATATTTGGCAACTTGGAATCCAAGAAAGAGGACAGATATGAGGCCCCTAGGTTTTCTTTTTGTTTCCTACCTCCCAGATTTGGAGGCAAAGAAACTGAAAACTCAGAAACACTACCAAAAAAGCTGAAATGAAATCCTGTTCTCTCTCTCCAAAGGACCAGGAAAGGGGCATACTAGCTGTATCAGAAATCTTTTAGGCAACAACTACTCTACTCTACCAAACACCACAGAAAGAAACCATGGCCCAACTTCACCCATGGAAAGGAATGAGAAGTGTGGGCTTCTACCCTCACAAGACTAAAACAAGGTGCCCCAACCTCCCTGGCATCTGGTGTCACAGAAGGTGGGGTATGGAGCTGGGACTTTCATCCCCACTTGGGTAAAGAGAACAAGGCAGGACTGCATTGAAACCCCTAGTCTGACACTTGTAGCCTGAGGCAGTTTAGCCTGAGTCTCTGCCCATCTGTAAAATGAGTAATTATTTCTACTTTGCACTGATGATTTTTAAGATTAGGATACATATGTGAACAAAGAGTACCAACCAACAAACAAACAAACAAAAGAAATAAAGAAAGAAAAAGAAAGGCAGAAGGACAGAAGGAAAGAAAACTACAAACCAATGTGTTTCTCAGGAATATAGAAGCAAAAATCCTTAGCAAAGTAGAGCAAATAGTATTCAACAATTCAACAATACATAAATTAATTATACAGCATAACTATACAGGGCTTATTCCAGGGATTCAAGGCTTATTCAATATAGAAAATCAAACAGTATAATATATATTAATAGGCTACAGAAGAAAAATCACATGACCCTATTAATGAATATAGAAAAAGCATTTGAAAAATTATTAAGAGAAAATATTTGGGACCTATGGCTAGACAGAGAATTTAGAGTTGTCACAAAAAGCACAATCTATAAAAGGAAAAATTGATAAATTAGATTTTAAAGTTAAAACAATTGCTCTGAAAGAGATCTTATTGAGAGGACCAAAGTGCAAGCTGCAGATTGGGAGAAATTATTTTTAACTCAGATGCAGAGAGAAAGAAAGAGAAAAGTTAGATGATATATAGATATAGGTTAGCTGATAGAATATATAATGAACTGTCAACATTCAACAATGAAAGTATGTAATTAAAATGGACAAAGACAAAGATACATTTTACTGAAGAGGATATATGGATAGTAAATAAGTGCACAAAAGATGTCAATATTATTATCCATTTTATGGAAATTAAAATTAAAGCCACAATGAGATATCCATATACACCTATCAGAATGGCTAGAGCTATTTTAGTGACAAAACCAAATGATAGAGAATATAGCAGAAATGAGATCATTCCTACACTCCTGGTGAGAATGTAAAATGGTTCAACCACCTAGAAAACAGTTCAGCAGTTTCTCAAAAACAACAACAAATGTTAACTAAAATGCCCAATTTTAGTTCATATGACCCAGCAATTATACCACTGAGCATTTATTCCAGACAAATGAAAATTTATATTTACATAAAAACCGATAAGCAAATGTTTATAGCAGCTTTACAGTGCAACATTAGGGATCATTGTGTGATGGAAATCTTCTGTATCTATACTGTATCAATGTCAATATGCTCTTTGTGTTATTGAACTACAGTTCTGTAAGATTTCACTATTAGGGAAAATTGAGTAAAGGGAACATGGATCTCCCTGTATCACTACTGACAACTGCACATGAATTTATAGTTATCTAAAAATAAAAACCCAAACAGGAGAATTTCTGTATAGATGAAGCAGCCTTATATTGGAAAAAGATGCTATCTAGGATTTCATAGCTAGAGAGGAGAAATCAATGCCTAGCTTCAAAATATCAAAGGACAGTCTGACTCTCTTGTTAGGGGCTAGCACAGCTGGTGACTTAAAGTTGAAGCCAGTGCTCATTGACCATTCTGAAAATCCAAGGATCCATAAGAATTATGCTAAATCTACTCATCTGTGCTCTCTAAATGGAACAACAAAGCCTGGATGACAGCACATAGTGTTTTTAACAAACGGTGCAGGAAATATTGGATATCTATATGCAAAAAAATGAATAGAACTTTAGTACTTGTGATGGTGAATTTTATGTGTCAAATTGACTGGATCGTGGGGCTAAACATTATTTCTGGGTGTGTCTGTGAGGGTGTTTTTGGATGAAATTAGCATTTGAATTTGTAGACTGAATGGATCTACTGCAAAATAGATAGGCATCATCCAGTCCATTAGAGGTCTGGATGGAACATAAAGACAGATGGGAACATTCACTCTCTAAGTATGACTTCTGAGCTAGGATATTGGTGTTCTCCTGCCCTTAGATGGCACTTAAACCATCTGTGCTCCTAGTTTGCAGGCCTTTGGTTTGAAACTGGAATTATGTATAGGCTTTCCTGGCCCTTCTGCTTGCAGGGGGCAAATGGAAGGGACTTTTCAGCCTCCAGAACTGTGTACGACAAATCATATATATCCTATTTGTTTTGTTTCTCTGGAGAGCCTCGACTCATACAACACCATGCAAACTAACTCAAAATGGATCATACACCTGAATGTAAAATCAATACCATAAAACTTCTAAAAGAAAACATCATAGAAAAACTTTGCTACCTTCAATTAGACAAAGATTTTTTAGACATGATACCCAAAGCACAACTTATAAAAGAACAAATTGATAAATTTGTTTGCTAATTAAAAACTTCTAATTTTCAAAAGACAGTGAATATGTAAAGAACTCTTAATACTAGGTAGTATGAAAACAATCAATCCAATACAAAATGAGAAGATTCAGTAGCTCTTATCCAAACAAGATATATGGACAGCAAATAAGCACATTAAAAGATGCTCAGTGTCTTTAATCATTTTGGAAAAGCAAATCAAAACTTTAATGAGGGGCGCCTGGATGGCTCAGTTGGTTAAGTGTCGAACTCTTGATTTCAGCTCAGGTCGTAACCTCATGGTTGGTGAGTTCAAGCCTCACTTGCGTTCTGCTCTCTGACAGTGTGAAGCGCGCTTGGGATTCTCTTTTTCCTTCTCTCTGACACTCCCCTCTTCACTATCTCTCTGTCTCAAAATAAATTTAAAAAAACATTAAAAAACTTTAAAAAAAATTAAAAAAAACATAATGAGATATCACTACAGACCTATTAGGAAGGCTAAAATTAAACAGACTGACCATACCAAATATTGGCAAAAATGTGGGGAAACTTTAATTTTTGAGTTCAGTTTACTGCCTTGGGAATGTAAGATAGTACTACTTTGAGACACAATTTGATCATTTCTTAACAAGTTAATCTTACACCTACCGTATTATCCAGCCATTTTACTCCTAGGTGTTTACTGAAGGGAAGTGAAAATATATGCCTATACAAAGATTTGTACATGATGTTTATAGTAGCTTAATTTTAGTAGCACAAAATTGGAAACAGTCTAAATGTGTAGCAATAGGTGAATGGTTTATTTAACAAATGCTGTATATACATACAATTGAATATATGCAGTAAGGAAAATAAAGGAAAATTGATACACACAGCAACATGGATGAATTTCAAATTGGGCTATTTTGTTTCAGAGTTTTAAAACTAGTTAGCATCATGGATGCTGGCAATTCACTTTCTCAAGCATATGTTAGAGAAGGTAACTTTCACAGATATGTTTCCTGTTTATATTATACTCACATATTCAATTCTATCCCAACCCACCTCACAAATGCTCTTGTCATGACAATTTGCATCCCATAATAATTAAACTTGGTAACTAATGGGAAGATAAGGATGTTTTTGATTTTTTTAAATCTTCTTGGAAGTTCTTAATATTTTATGAAAACACAGAGTTGTGTTTCAGATGCCACAAATCAACTTTTCAGACACTCAGAATAACATTTGAAGTCTCTATAGGCCCTTCTTATTCAACACCTAGTATCCATTAACTAAAATTATGTTATTCTATATAAGTAATAATATACTGAATAAATGTTACTGAATATAAAGGGAAACAGAGATGGCAAACTTAAGTAGAAATTAATTAATTAATTAGTTTATTTTTTATGTTTATTTATTTTTGAGAGAGAGAGAGAGAGAGAGAGAGAGAGAGCGAGCGAGCACCAACTGGGGAGGGGCAGAGAGAGATAGAGACACAGAATCTAAAGCAGACTCTGGGCTCTGAGCTGTCAGCACAGAGGGTAAACTTAAGTAGCAATTTTAAAAATCCAAATTCTCTTTGGCACCTTTCTCCCCAATATACAGAGATAAAACTAAATTTTAGTTTGTTATTACTTTATTCTCTTATACCTCCTCATGAATGACTACTATGATTTGTTTCATATATTTGCAAAATGTTTTCCTCACATGTGCCACTTTGGCTAAATAGCAAGGCAAGCAGAGGCCTATAAAAAACTTGTATTTTATTTCCATTTCTTTCTCCCCTCTCATCTTCCAGATATTCTTCTTTTTCTTTCTCTTTTTAAATTTTGTTTTGTTTTGTTTTAAAACAAAGATGATTTGTTCTATATCTTCATGAAGCTCTCATATGGAATTGAAGAAATTTTTGGTGTCATAGTGGAGCAAAGGTTTGGATTGAGAAAGGTGGTCTGTTCCTTACCTTAATTGGAAGATTAATTTCTTTCATGCTTCCTCCCTAGAATTTTGATGTAGACAATTGATATTTGGTCATTCTCATGATAAATGTAGTGGTTATATGCATACACACTGATGGGGTCTCTGCAATATGGAAGAAGGTGACAGTAGGGTGGGTCATGGTGACTGACTGGGTGGGCAGACAGAGTTATCTGCCACAGATCTCTTTCAATCCCACTTCTTCAGAAACAGCATTACTTAGGAAGAGTCATATTAAAATGGTAAGTTTTGACACAGCCTTCTGTTTTGTTTCTTCCTTGAATTTGGTGTGCTTTTTAGCTGCTGCAGGAATGGTGTGCAACCATCTGTGTTCAAGTGATGGCTGCTGGGGACCTGGCCCAGACCAATGCTTGTCCTGCCGTCGCTTCAGCAGAGGAAGGAGCTGCATAGAGTCTTGTAACCTCTATGATGGGTAAGGCATCTTACAATGTTGCCTTTACCTCATAAGTTTGACTACTGAGTGTTTCAGATTTTAAAATGATAAGAAAATGGTAAAACTGCAGAATGTGTGTGCTGGCCAAGATTTTTCAGGGGAGTTCTTGTTGCATAAAGGTGCCAACAATAGAATTGTTTTAAGGGAAAGACTTTTATCTGAAATAAGTCCAAATATGTATCAACTATTATACACACTTTAAAAAAGTGTACCAAAATAGATCATTCTTAGTAAATTATAGCAGTTTGTACTTAAGCAAAATTGAAAAATATATTCTTATTTTCCTTATGAAGGAGATTATTACAAGTAATCTTTCAGATGTTCCAATAATCTTTTTTTTCACATGCTTTCCTATTAATTTTCATCTGGAATACTATATACCTTTTGATTTTTTTCCATCCAAGTTCTGTGTCTATTTGTGTATTAGAAACAATACATGTTTCTGCGTCTCTGACAACTGCTTAACCCTATAGAAAAATTGCCTTTGTAGTTCCTATTTGAAGAAGTTTTTGGAAGTGTTCTCCCACTTTCTAAAGATAACCTAAGCAGTATTTTAAATCAAGTATTTTAAATTCCTGCTGGTGCTATAATAATCACATTGCCAACAATAAAACCTGGCATATATCTTGTTGCATGGCATTTCACATAGTCATAAAATCAGTTTATCATAACATATCATTTCATGCATCACAGTTGTCCTTCATTAGTGTGATAATACATTTTTTAGTACTGTTCCTGATTCAAATTTTCTCATAATGCTCACCAAAAGGATTTTCAACAGTTCTGTAAAAGTGTAGTTTTGAAGTTCTTTATTTCATTTCTTCTTTTGTTTCATGAATTGTCCCATTTTATCTTTTTTTTTTTTTTAATTTTTTTTTCAACGTTTTTTATTTATTTTTGGGACAGAGAGAGACAGAACATGAACGGGGGAGGGGCAAACAGAGAGGGAGACACAGAATCGGAAACAGGCTCCAGGCTCTGAGCCATCAGCCCAGAGCCCGACGCGGGGCTCGAACTCGGGGACCGCGAGATCGTGACCTGGCTGAAGTCGGACGCTTAACCGACTGCGCCACCCAGGCGCCCCATCTTTTTTTTTTTTTTTTTTACAGGTTCGAATTTTTGTTTTAAAATTCTACATGTCTTGTACAATATTATGGTATTTAAGTGACCTGTAAATGGTTAATGTACAGTGCCTTTGCTTTTGCTGAAATAAAACCATGAATTATGATTTCTTCAATGCAGTTATAGAATTGTCCCATTTAAATAACTGTTTTCATGATCCGAGGAAACATTGCACTTTTTCATTTTATATCAGAAAGATAGAAATCTTTGGATCATAATAATATTGATACGTCTCTTCTTTGAAAGAAACCAATTCCCTTCATGAAATTTAGGAAAAAAAATAAAATGAGAAATTTAAGTATGAAACAATTTAAAATAAGAATTTAATTGTTTTTCAGGAAAATTTCAGCTTATAATTTTGTAAGTTACAATCAACTTATAAATTTGATAATGGATAGCAAATTCTGTGTTTCTTTTCTCATTAAATTGTATTCATGCTTATTCTCATTATTACAATAGAATGATATTATCTGAACATAAAATACTTGATTAAAATATGCTTGTTTGTTGTTTAGCAATCGATGCCATTAAAGTGTAACTAATAGATTTTAATTCCATTTAGTGAATTACAAGTTTATTTGTGTATATATAGGTATACATGTATATATATGTGTATATATATGTATATATATATATATTAGTACTGAAGAGGAAATGGGGCTGTAGCAATCATGTCTTCTGACAGCAACATCTTATAAATAGTGAAAACTGGTAGAATTAAGTGTTGGCCAGTGTCAGAACACTGTAGAAACAAGCCAACACTAGAATTCAGACCATCTGATTTCCGTCCTGTATCTTTCCAGATGCTATTGTTTTTCTTTAACATTTCCATTTTCAACTGTCAGATATATGAAAATGATACATATGCAAATGCATATACTATCCTCTGTCTCATGTCTGCAAAATAATGACAGCTAAGGAAAAATAACCTGTTTTCTAAAAAAACAACACTGATTACCAGACTGTTTTTGAAAGTTTAGCATTTTACAAGTCATTAAATCAAACGTATTAAAAGCTATAAAGTTTTTCATGTATTTTGCAATAGTAATAGGGCTCTAGGAAATCATATACAAGAATTAGCTTGAAAGATAATAAGTGAAAGTACCTTGTAAAAGTCTGATGTTATTCTAGTCTATGCAATGATAGGTTTTCCCACTTCCAATCTTGTGGCACTGGCTAATTTCTCCTGACATTGCTTGGCAGTTAGTTAAAACAGCCTTTGACGAAGAATTAATTCAAGTCCTAACTTCATCACTTCCTAGTTTTAAATCTTGGATAAATAACCTAATTGTGCGAATCATTTCCTTTTCGTGTCAATGTATCCAAGCTAATTAGATGGCTAGGTAGAATAGTTATCTTAAAATTACTGAAAACAAATACAAATGTGACATTTACCAAAATCAGGGAAACTATTTTTATATAAAAATAGTTTTGACTATCATATGAGAAGAAGTCCTAAAAAAGAGGACTTTTTGAAGGGGACTAGAAAACCAGTTAATTCCTGGCTGTTAGCATTCAAATCCAGGTCATAGAAGCCACTGTATTTCAGCAACTCAGAATTAGAGTGCACAGGCATTTAAAATGAAAGAGAAAGCTCATTACAATGCAGTCTTAAAATTGTTCTTATCTGGCAACATGGTTAAATGTTTTTGAAACGTTAAGAACAACATGGGAACATCAGAAAGGGTGCCAATCTAAGCTCTTTGTAGGCATTTTTTATATTTAACATTCACAACCTCTCATTGAAACACGATTTTTCCCTTTTACAGAAGATATTTACAAAATTAAGTCTAGAGATGTTAAGGGATTTAAGTCCTAGAAGGAACACCAGTGAAGTTTAGGAAGGACTTGACTGCAGAGCATTGGTGCTGGCTCACAGGATTGGCTAAGGCAGCACACACAGCATGGCTGTGAGAAATGTAGAGTAGCAAAAACAAGTGACAAAAAGCATAGTCTGCAAAACTCACGCTCAGTAGACAGTGATTTTCTAGGTCAGATTCAAGAGAAAGGGAATCTCTGGCAGTCATAGTATATAATCAATAGGAAACGGGGAAGAAAAAGCAATGATGGAGGCAGTGACAATGAAGAGTGAAGAAATAGTAAAAATTGTACGAATGATCCGTTCTGAGAGCGTAAAGGAAGAGAGCCCAAAGCCATACAAATAGACGTCTAATCTGCAGAAGAAAAGGCAGCTGGGTTGTCTCCATGACTTTTTATGACATATTCACCTTACTCCTTAACTCTGTGTGTAGGGAAGGGTTTTGAAGAAGTGAAAGAAAAGAATGACCTATGTTTTAGTACCACAAAAATTATGACCTTCATTCAGTAACATAACCCTTTAGTAACCCAAAACTCTATTCTTAAAAACAGGAATTTGCTGACGATTGCAGGTTTTGTTATAATTTCATGTTAATTATTTATAATTTTATAATTTCATTATAGAACTAATACTAATGATTCTCTTCACAATTGAGGTACCACTTCATACCAGGTCATTTTGACTTTTATATTATGAAGATTTCCTCTGTTGAGTGCTTTATATCACTAATGATGAAACATGCAAAAACAAAACAAAAAAAACCAGTCTGTTTATATGCAATTGAGATTTTAAACTCATGCATTTTAAAATGCATCAAAAGCTTAGTCCATAGCAAACCAACATCACATTCTAAAAATGGAAAATCCATGTAGATAAATATGTGCACTGATATATAACTAAACCATCAATTTATGCCATGTGTTTTGAAAACCCAATATTTTGCTTTGAAGTTAAGTGTAGTTTTAATTTAACCAACAGAAAATATAGCCCACCTTTTAGACTTCTATCATTTATTAACACATAATAGCCAAATGGGATAGTTCACTGTAAAAATAAGTGAACACTTTAGGAAAAATAAATTTAAAATTATCATGCAATTAATCCTTAAATGCCATATTTGCAATGCTTTGAGTATGGAATGATAGCTCATGATACATAGACAAACAATAATACAGAAGCTATAAATATTTAGTCATGTTTTGTTAATGACTTGTAACTGACATTGTCGTTACCCAGTGCCTCATCCACTCACACATTAGTTGGAATGGGGTGTATAAACATGATGTACATGAATGATAACCAATTATTGAAATGAAAACTTTACAATAGGTATTGATTGGAAAACTTACATATTGATAACATTTAATATTGAAATGGCCACAAAATGTTAGGTTTGGAAAGGGATAACGTCATCCTAGGTTTTAATTAAAAAGTTTTAGAATGTTACCATTGAACTAATTTTTTTTTAATTTTATACTTTATAGAATTACTTCAAAAAGATTTTAAACTGAAAAAAGATGTTGTGATATTAGATCAATAATCTAAGAATATAAAATCTGCCATAAAAAGCTATTTTTTCTAATTCTCCAAGGCAGCTATTTTAAAAGAAGAAAAGAAATCAAAGCATTTTTTGAAGTTTCACCAAAAATAAATTGAAGAGTCTTGGGATTTGAAGGACAGGAATGGGGAATATCATGTAACTTAGCAACAAGAAAAATACAATAGTTCTTTCAGAGTTTAAAAAATAAAGCTCAGCCAAGAGTAACATTTTATATAGAGACAAACAGGCACAGCTTTACTTTAAAAAAAGAGTGAAAATAATTCTGCTGTGTCATCGGAAGAGTCATAGTTTTTTTTTCTTCTCTCTCTCTCTCTCCTTTTTTTTTTTTTTTTTTTTTTTTT